CCCCAGAGTTCCTCAGCCAGCTTTGCTGAGTTGGGAGTTCTGGCAGTTGAATTCTGAATTCTGGGAGTCCTTGCCAAGTTTTGCGGATATCGGCCTGATAAGGTATGTGACTGTAACTCCTCCTTTGAAAGACTTTGCTGGATGTGAATGAGCAGAATTCCCAATAAATTAGTAAAAGGGTTTTTTGTCGGGACCAGGAGTTGCTTCATGCACTTGGGAAGCCTAGGTCAGAACATTTCCAGCCAGCACGCCAAATATGCTATCGGATCGATTAGATCAGGGATCTCCAACCTTGCCAACTTTGTGGACTTCAACTCCCAGAATTCAGAATTCAACTGCCAGAACTCCCAACTCAGCAAAGCTGGCTGAGAAACTCTGGGAGTTGAAGTCCACAAGTCTTAAAGTAGCCAAGGTTGGAGATCCCTTGATTAGATTGTCCACAATCAAAATCTCTCCCACTCTGAGAGATTGCAGATGGCTTCTTTCCTGCAGGAACGTCTCTCTTATCCTGGCCATGATGTCCTTCTCATGTAACATTTCATCTACATATCTCTCTGACTCTCCAAGGATCTCCAGGTTAGCCTCCTTGATTCAAAGGAATCCATTTGTTAACTGAGCTTGTTTCGTTGAGCATAAGCTCAAAATAGTCTGTGTTGATACTAGGTAATTACTCAAAGCACCTATCTTACTATCTTTATACCAGTTATTGTTGGCAACGGGCAGGGTTTTTTTTAGACAGAATTCTTAGGAATTACGTAAGATAAATATAATCGCTGGGTGATATTTTTAGAGTTTTGAGCTAGCATGTTCTTTCCTTGCCAAACTTTGCTCCTTGTTTCTCCACCTGTTCATTTGCTGGGGTTGCAAGGTCCTGTAAATTGGACAGGGTTGGACTAGAAGACCTCCAAGATCCCTTCCAACCTAACTATTCTCTATTCTGTATTCTTTTTCAAACTGTCTTGGCTGGCACTCACTGAGATTCTGAAATTAAGAATATTCCTATGTTTGTAAGATGCGCTCTACTATACTTCTCTCTGATGTTTTAAAATGTTGTTGAGTACACGATTTTAAGACTCTTGACTATTTTATTAGTATTCCCCGAAAGTCTTGAGTTAGAAATAAAGGTTTCTTCAAAATGTAGCAGAGTGTTTGCACTTCTGAAACAAGTGTTGAATTTAATTAGTCCCAACAAGATTAATTTTGCAGATCATTAATGAAATTTCTCTGGAGTAAGCAAATATATGACTGGGTATATTTCCATCTTTCTAGATGGCCTTTGTCCCTCCCCCCCCCTTGTTTTAATCCTCAGTTGAGTTCAATATTAGATTAAAAATTGGGGACTGGTGGGCCAAATGACTCCAGGTGAAAATCCAATACTTCTTCCTTATTACTAAATACAGGAAGTTCTCAACTTGCAACTGTTAGTTTAGTGATTGTTGAAAGTTACAACAGCACCAAAGAAACTAACTTTTGACCATTTTTCATGGTATGACTGTTGCTGGTCATGGGATCCAAATTTGGGGACTTGGCAACTGGCATATATTTATTGGCCACCTAATGAGAAGGAAGGACTCACTGGAGAAGAGCCTAATGCTGGGAACAATTGAGGGCAAAAGAAGAAGGGGACGGCAGAGAAGGAGGTGGCTGGATGGAGTCACCGAAGCAGTGGGCACGAGCTTAAATGGGCTCCAGAGGATGGCAGAGGACAGGGAGGCCTGGAGCCCTCGTCACCTCAAG